TGAAAAAAATGACCAAGATTGTTCTATTTTGATTAGGATTGTCAGTGATCTCAAGATTCAACTCAATTCTCCACTTCAAAAACCTGCTCGCTATAATTTGGATGGAGTCGGTTTGAGGCACACTCTAACTCTGGGAATAACAGGTTTCACTTTTTTTTTTTCTTGAGAGAATAAAGTAAAGATGTAAGTACATTAAAGCAGCTATAAAGGAACATAGACAACCCAGTTTCAGACCCATAAATAGAGGAACTTTTCCACTGGATTGTTATAAAATATCCTATTACACTATAGACAACAATGTGATAAACTGATTAACAAATAATTTCAGACAAGTTTACCTGGATGATTTAGAACCTTCATCGACATTGCAAGGGACTTTGGGGAGGAAACCTCTGAGGTTAGTGCAGGAAGAGTTGGTACATTATATTCATATTCATATTCAATGTCTTTCCTGTTTGTGACTACTTCAGCTTCAACCACAACAATACACGAGCAAATAATAAATACAAACTCAAGGTAAGTTTGTAAGTTCCAAACTCGATTGCAGAAAATATGACTTCAGCAACAGAGTGGTCAATGCCTGGAATGCACTACCTGACTCTGTGGTTTCTTCCCCAAACTCCCAAAACTTTAACCTAAAACTGTCTACCTCACCCCATTCCTAAGAGGTCTGTAAGGGGCGTGCATAAGAGCATCAGCGTGCCTACCGTCCCTGTCCTAATATTCCTTTTTACTCTTACTTTTTTCATGTATTCAAATTATGTTTATACTTTTACCTGTATGCTTGACAAATAAACTTATAATTAAAAACTTATGATTATAACAAAAGCATGGATCTTCTATTTGTATCAGCCTTACTATGAAGGACAGGTAGGAAACCCAACCAAATAAACTAGTCCTACTTTATTGAAAAGCTACATTAATAGAATCTTGAAAGTGAAAAACCATAATTCTCCTACCATATTCTTTGTAACCCAAGAAACTAGGGAAGGTTCATTCCAAGCTTCTTGCCCACCAAATATCCAGCTGGGAGTTATGCTGCCTCTTATCTGACAATTCCCTAAGCCATGTCATGCTCATGAGCAGGATTTCAATTACCCTCCTTTTTGGAAACTCTCCCTATTTTTAGGGATTATATTAAAGTTACATTACAATAACCTAACTAATTTCTTTTTACCTTTGAAGCTGCTTGGATGAGCAGCGAAACATCTCAAACCAACAAGAAAAATAGGTCCAGCTGCCATAACTCAATCTTCACACAATATGATATGTTCTTGAAAAAACATGAGATGCTTACTGGATCAGGACAATGTCTCAGCATCCTGTGCTACCTAGTCACCAAAGTTATATTTAGAAAGCATATAAACATGTCATCTTCACCATTTTCTCCAGTAACTGGTATTTAAGATATGCTGCCTATGGTTCTCATAGTAGTAAAAAGGTGTTGAAACTTGATCAACCATGAATGTGTTCAGTTCTGATTGATTGGTTGATTGGTTGATTGGTTGATTATGTGCTAGTGTTGATTCTTAGCCACCACAAGATTTTCTCCATAATGAACCTGGTTTTTCAGGTCTTCTAATATGGTATCCATCACTGTTGTAAAAGCTTGTCTTATCCAGAAAACTAGGTCTTTGCATTATGTGTCCAAAATAAGATAATTTGAGCCTGGCCATTTATGCCCTTAGTGAGAACTCTGAATTGATTTGTTCAATTATTCATTTGTTTGTTTTCTTGGCTGTCCGTAGTATTCTCAAGAGTTTCTCCATTACAAATTCATCAATATTTTTTCTGTATTTTTTCTTCAAAATCCAACTTTTACTTCCATACAGGTAGTCCTCGAGTTACAATGGTAATTGGGACTGGAATTGCTGTAACTATGTAATATGGTTATAAAGAGCAAAATCATAATAATTAAATGAGGACCTAGCTCAATGCAAACCACTTCTGCTTGGTCCCTCCCATCTCTGAGCCTCAGTAAGGTAAGGAATTGCCTTCTCTTTAACACCACCTACCTACCTATCTTCCACCCATCTCTTTCCTTCTGGACACCTTGCATTCCACCACTATGGTGGTTGCAGCTTGTGTGTGGTCTTAAAGGGCAGCCCCATGTAGTGTGCAATGCAGTAAATCAAATGGAAGATAACTAAGGCATGGATCACTGTAAGAAAGGCATCTCAGTCCAGGAATAATAGTTTGCTAGGTCTATGCATGCGAATGACTTTAAAGAAGTACTTCAGATTTTACAAAAACTCCCAACTACCCATTAAAGCATCTCACCTTTTTTCGAGCTTTCAAGTTATTTAAGTAAATGATTCATATGATTACTGTGCCTCTTAAAGCAGCCACATCTTCTTTTCACACTACCTGAGAAGCCTGACAAAAGATGCACTTATATAATGAATTGCAGAGCAGTGCTGATCTCACATTTGCAGATGACCCAGAACACCTATCCTTCATATTGCAAATGTTGCTGGTTGCAGATGTTGCACTTCAAAGCTTGCAAAGCTTAAATTCTGCCTTTCTACTAAAGTGTTGACTCTCTCATGCAACCAGCCAATTCTGGGTGGACTGTTTTGTACGACAGATTTGAAGCAAAAAGATGATTGAATGCAAAGGATGCGAACATAACACTTGTCTACAGTTCCTTAAAGCAATTCTACACTTTCAGGATCACACAACATTTTGCAAAACCAAGAAATTTCTGGGTGCTATATTGGCACTGTTTGATGTCAGATAGAAAATATTATATACCTCCCGTTCACAGGGATCCTGCTTTCTTTCATACAGCCACAGTCAGAATAACAGACTTGCAAGCTCTTCTAGTCCAAGCAGGAGACCCTATAAAAGTGATGGCTAAATTTTTCCAGACCGAGTGCCCAAAGCACACATGCCCGAACCCCAAAAATGCAATCTGTGCACGGATCCCATGCATGCGCCCCACCCCTCCGCATGCGTGCATGATCCCCACATGCGCCCTGCGCCCCATGCATGTGCACATGGCCCCCCTGCATGCACCCTCCCCCACACATGTGCATGCACCCCCCCGCATGCATCCCACCCCCCTGCATGCATACACACACACACACACCCCGCTCCCCACGCATGTGCAGCAGAGACCCGAAGACCAGTTGGCTGGCGGGAGGCATGTGCATGTTGTGGCGGAGCTGAACTGGATGACGGCTCATGTGCCCACAGAGAGGGTGCCATAGGTTCGCCATCACAGCACTATACCTTTTTAGACAAGTGGCTATCCAGTCTCTTCTTAAAAGCCTCCAGTGATGCAACACCTACAACGTCTGAAGCCAAGCCATTCCACTGGTTAATTGTTCTCACTGTTAGGAAAGTTCACTTATTTCTCTTATTTATTTTATTCATTTAATTCACAAGGCTTATACACTTCTCCAATTTGAGAAGTTTAGAGATCTCTCAAAAGCATATAAGATCAAAACTAACACAGATCAGTTAACTAACAGGTAAGAGCCCATATGCTGAGGACCAACCATAACATTTCCTACATGAGGAAAGACTATGAGGATTCCCTCAGCCCTCGAAGGGCCACTGAAATTGTCTTAAAAGCCTTATGAAAATCTAACAGGGACTAATCCAGGTGGTCGCCAAAAGATAACACCAATTTGAAGGCCAAAAATGAGCATTTGAAGAAAAGGTTGGGAAAGTCACTACCGTATTATCTGATCCAATGTGCAGTCACTGTCAAGCAACATAGATGAGATGGTGTGAGAGCATAAAATGGGCAACATTTGAAGGTTTCTTATGAATCTGGTAAGTCAACTCATCAGTTGGCTAGCTGCCCTATTTGTGTGTTGAACTGAGATTAATACAGAAATGGTAAATTAGTCATTTGTCTTCATCTAATCAGGGAAGTAAAGATCTACTCATTCTTGAAATACAACATAATCTTTTTAAAGTATTTTGAAATGAATGCTTTGCAGTTTTCTGCAGTCTTAATATTTGATTTTTTAAACTAGAAATAATGTACTCCTATCTTTTCACAGGTGCATTTGAATATAATGCAATCTGCAATGCTATTTGTGTGTGAAAAGCTAAACATTTCAAAGCAGTAAAGAATTCATAGACTATTTCCTTTCTGCAAAAGGAAAAGCACATTTCTTTCTTTTGTTCAAGAACACTTCTATAAAACCAGCAGCAAAACTAATAAAATATTCGAGCTGTTTTCCTTCAGAGCTGATGTTTAAACATGGTAATTGTGTTTCTGAAGTCGGTATATATCATGTTCTGCTTAAGATGCAGAGAGGATCTAGGAGATAAGTATTCATAAATGCATTTTTCATTTCTCTTATTTGAAATCCTGATAAGTTCTTCTTTTTCAACAGCCTTGTTAATGGTTTTTGGAAGAAGGAAAAAAAATTAACTTTTAATATCATCCAGGCAAATTTAAGTTTGCTACTGTATGTTCTTCAGTTTTTCTGTTCAGAGTGTACTCTACTTAATATAATAGTACTTTAATATTTAAGAATGTTTTCCCATCCTAATGGGGACACTTATAGCACTTTCGAAAGTATTGTTTTGTTAACATGAACAAGAATAGAAAAATTAGAAAGAGAAAATGATGCAGGAAAAATTATATTTTAATATTGTTAGGAAGAACTATTTGGAGAAAGGACTCTTCCATCAATATTACAAGCTCAATGGAAATTCTTTCCAATGGACTTACCTATTTTTTCTTCAGGCTGTTTAATTATTTTCCAAACTACAAATAATATGATCCTTTCCAATGTTTTAAACCATATATATGTGTTACTCATGCCAGAGAGACACTTTTCAAAAAATATATTTTTATTATTTACATATAGATATATTGAATACAGTATAATTGTCCTGGCATTCCATTTGCCATGAAACAAAGGTAAAAACAAAATAACATATATACTATTTTAAACAGTGCTACTGTTGTACAGTTATTTCTGACCATCATATTCTAGAATGTCAACTTATCTATCTATCATTCTAATACCCACATTCTAATGTGGAGGGCTGGTAGTTTTAAATTTCTGGGCATTTATATCTTGGAGGACCCTCATATGAGGAGTTGCTGGAGAGAGAAGAAAAACATCTTCTCTTTTCAATTGACAAAAGTCATAACATAAAATCTGGAAAGTTTCGTTGGTCTTCATTATTTTTATCTATCAATCGACTTACAAAAATGTAAAAATGTTTTTGAAAAATGATTAGTCTTGAAGTTTTATCCTCTTCCAAGAGAAGATGACTGGTGTTCAACGATTTTGTTTATTCATTATTATAAAATTAGAATAATTCTCAGGAGATGTGACTATTCCTGAAATTATGAAAACAGAGATATGTAGCAATTTCATCAATACCAACTTTTTGCTATTTATTGCACATTATTCCCTGACTTGCTTCCAGTTATATTTTTCAGTGCTGACTTTCATCTTTGCTTTTGCCCAAAAATCAAGAGGACTCAAAAGCAGAATTTTGGACTATGGCAGCTTTTCAGAAGTACCACATAAAGTAAATAAGTTCATATCATGTTATGATTAAATGTTTGTTGATTAAACAACAATTGTAAGATGTACCTCAAAAATGCCAATTTAATTCCCCTTTCTGGCCTTAAAAGTTTCAGTAGTTGCCACAAGTCATGCTTGTGAATATTTATTATTGAAGTAATTTTTATCCTCTTTCTCAATCTCAGTTTCAGGCCCGGATAAAACAGAAGATTGCCTTATTGAATTGTGAAGAGCAAAGAAACATACCCAACCCTGACTAGTTTTTTCTGAAAAGTAATATAGCCTGACAATTGGAACAAATTAGATTTACTCAGAGCAGACAAGTTTGCAAATGTATAATAAAGTCAGTGTCTCCGGAAGGAAGAAGTTGGTGCATTTTTTTTCCAGATCCAAAATGGCTTTCACAGACATCTCAGATATTCTGGTACCAATTCTTGTGCCAATTCAAATTTAATATATCCCAGTGTACCTTTTGCCCTCAAACAAATTGATTTGATTTGATTTTGGTTTTATTTTTACCTTGCCAAAAATTCCTCCCAACACTATCTGTGACACCGATGCCAAATAAATCATTCTAATGTTCCCCTGAAGTGAATTGAAAATTAATTTACAGGGCCAAGATGATCCTCCTAATAACAGGGTACATGGAATGGGGAAATTGGAAATCATTACCCAGCAAACATTATCTGCATTATTTTTGTAGCTGCTTTAGATTGCATTGTAATAGAAAATTAGGAGACCGGCTGTGAAGAAGTTTAAGAGGGTCCCCCGAAGAGCTTCTGCCTCAAAATTGATTCTTTAAGAAAGCATTAAAAAGCTATTGGAATTGATTGCCTGCTAATATAAAGGAAAAACTCTTTGCCACTATTTGAGTTTAAAAAGAGCATCTTCATTCATGCATGTTATTAAAACTACTGGCCTGTAAGCCCCTGTAGATAGATAAAGGATATGGATGGGATATTAAAAAAGCAATCTTTACCTTATCTGGGATTTAAACTTAATATGTTGCTTTTATTAATTTAGAAAGAACCATTAGTTAGGATGTCAAAGAATAGGTTTACAATTAAAATGCTATAGAAGTGAGGGGTCTTTAATAAACAGCCTACCAGGGATCTTTCATTAATCTTTCAAGCATGAGGACCACCCCTGTAAACATTACTCTGAATGTACAGTTTTCTTTACTATCAACCTTTCTGTGAAGAAGCAATAACCCAAGAGCTGATATCATGCCGATTAGTTGCTACAGTCCCCCTACAAAGAAGAACAGACCAATCGGTATTCAGTCCTTCAGCCCATCATGACTTGGCAAGCCACATTCTATATTTTAGTAAAAGAAAGGCAGAGTTTCATTGGGGATATTTGAATGTTTTGAAACGCATGTAACTGCATATTCCTGCATACACTGAAATACCGTGTTTCCCCCCAAATAAGACCGGGTCTTATATTAATTATTGCTCCAAAAGACACATTATGACTTATTTTCCGGTTGGGTCTTATTTTGGGGAAATACAATACTAAACGCCTCCGTCTGGTTATCGATCATAACTGGGGCTTATTTTTGGGGTAGGGTTTATATTACGAGCATCCTGAAAAATCATGCTAGGGCTTATTTTCCAGTTGGGTCTTATTTTCGGGGAAACTGGGTAGATATTGGCAAGGGGAGGGGAGGATAACCCATGTTTTATACTTTTAGATCTTCAGTGAAAAAAATTGAAGTGTGTAAGGTAAAGGTAAAGGTTCCCCTTCCACATACGTTCTAGTCATTCCTGACTCTAGGGGATGGTGCTCATCTCCATTTCTAAGCCGAAGAGACAGTGCTGTCTGATGACGATTCCATGGTCATGTGGCCGGCATGACTAAACGCCAAAGGCACATGGAGTGCTGTTACCTTCCCACCGAAGTGGTCCCTATTTTTCTACTTTCATTTTTACATGCTTTCGAACTGCTAAGTTGGCAAAAGCTGGGACAAGTAATGGGAGCTCACTCCGTTACACAGCGCTAAGGATTTGAACTGCCGAACTGCTGACCTTTTTGATCAACAATCTTAGCCACTGAGCCACCGCATCCGCCATGTAGCTAACATTTAAAAAATGGGGACATTTCACAAAGAGGAGCTTAGAGACCATAATTATAGCTGGATTGTGAGCAGCCAGTTTTTCTACTGCTAGTCTACTACTAAACGAGAATTCCTATGCCCAGGAAAGTGTATTAATCTAAGGTTTTCTGACCTATATGTGGTTCAAGAACAATGGAGATCCTAGATATCTTCAGATGTTATGGAATGACAACAGCAAACAGCCTGAGGCATCATGGCCCCTCACTCTTTTAAGAAATTCTGATATATGCATGGAAAATGTGATTGTGGTAGAAAATTGGGAGCTATTTTTTTAAACAGAGTTGATTCTAATATCTCATGGAATATTGTAGCACTTTAAAAATCAATCTGGTCATACAAGAACCATTTTTTCATAAACCTTGAAAACAAATTACATACCCTTAGACTTGGTATTACTATCAAGCTAACCAACATTAGCTTTCTTGTGGGAGGAAGGAGTGAAAATAGCTAAAATACCAGCAATTGAATTTGTAAAATATACAGGTTAGAAAGAAATAATGGCATATTGTATATAAAGTTTCAGACTTTAGAGTGCCCTTCTATATCTTCAAGTCTATTTTTATTCTTTTATCCTCTGTTTTTCCCCCCATGCCTTCAGTCTGCTAAGCTGTTTTATGCCTAAAGATATTTATCCATATAGTAGGGCTATATTGCTATTATCCTTCTCATCTTCTCATCTTTCTCATTTTGTCATCATTCCTACTACCTTCTCCTATTGGTATCTTATTATTTATCATGTGTTGTTTGTATCTTATGATTTATTATTGTATCTTATGATTTATGATCTATGACCTATCACTTTGTTATTTGTACATACACTGAGAGTTTATGCACTGGAGACAAATTCCTGGTGGATGCAATTACACTTGGCCAATAAAGAATATTCTATTCTGTTAGCCTTTGCCTATTGACTGCAAGAGGGTGAAATACAATATATTTTAAAAGGAGCAAAAAGATAGTGGGTAGGAGAGAACAATTCTGAAAACTTCAGAGAGATGAGACAGTGTGAAGAGGGTTGTCAGAGATAGAAAGGCAAAAGGATGTAGGCTATATGCCAGTTGAGACAATCTAAATGGCTTTGGTGACTATTCTCCTAGGTTGAAACTTCTGCTATTGAATGCCATCTCAGAAATGGTAAAAGGGAAGCTATCAAACCTAGCTGGGAACTATATCTCTGGTTTATATCACAAAGCTGTGATTGAAGGAGACCAGGAAGTAAATGCTTTTCATTACTCTTGTTATTACTGTATGTAACTAGAAAGCTTGCTTCTCTTATCACTTATGATAATATGGTGGCATTCATCACATTGGTTGTATCTATATGCACAACAGCTATTTCCATGGGTTTATGCAATGAAACGAGTCTCCCTGAAGCAGTGATGTTTACCATCTAAATGAAAAGTGAAAACCACACATATGTAAGCACTCCCCCCCAAAAGTGTGCAGTGAATTATTTTGTTATTGATTAATAATGAAAAATTCTCCCTTCATTCTAGTATAAATAAAAATACGGCATGTACAAAAATATGGCATTTTTGGAAAGAGAAAAACAAAGTCATATAGACTAGAACTGTAGACAAAAAGTTTTGTTTACTCAATGTGATTCAATGATAAAATAATTTTGACTCAATTGCCACTTTTGCTATCAGCATTCCCCTTTTCAAAAATATAAGTGGGCAATAGATACCATCCTATCACACCAAATCCATGATTAACTAATACATAAGACAGTTTTGGAATTATCTAATCTTGCCTGATTAGTGCCAAAAGTATAACTTTGTTCATATATTTTCTCACTCTCCAGGTGGACACATGGAGTTATCGATGGAAAGAATTCATCTAGTAAGGCTATAGAATTGATAGCTCTTTCTGAAACTGTGCCTTTAAATACTTTCACCTAAAAATATTTCCAAGATAGCTTAGAACAGAGTTCAGTAGTCTGCATAGCAATCAAACCGACAAGGTTAAAACATCAAGATAAAGTCAGGAGACTTCAATCAATAAAATACAACATTACAGATTTGAAGTTACATCAATCTCTTTTACATATGGACTCAAATTGTCATTGTCTGCGTATATGCCTAAATGACTTTTGTCAATTGCTAGAGGAAAATCCCTATTTTGATAATAGACTTTTCTGTGGACACATGAAATCATGTGAAAGGAAAGATAACATACACACACGTACACCTGCATAATATATTGGAAAAGGGAAAACTTTAAATAGTGCTGTGTGTGCAGAAATATGGGAAGCTCAGAGTCAGTAGTGTGATCTCCTCTTCCACGTACACAAACCCACATAGCCACTGAAATATTCAGAAGAGTGCTTGAATATTAATTTCTTTAGGGTTTGTTTGTTTTTTAAAGAAGAAAATGATAGAATTTACCTTCTCTGCTCTGCTACCCTCTGTTGACGAAGCTGGGCATTCCAGAGATCGTAGTCCTGCTGACACATTTAGGTAGGGAAAGCTGCACTCTAAAATGTAATTCATGAGGAAATTGCTAGAACATTTTACTATGACAGTGTGTGACCAGAATGGAAATTCTTTCTAGGCAGAGACTAAAGGATTTTTGATTATGAAGGTAGAATGGATTCATCAGATGTTCCAAGTTGATCTGGAGGGACTTTGGGAATGTTGCAGGAAAGATTCATTAATTGATCTAAGCTTTAGAAGAGAAGTACCTGGGAAGATAGGACACTGTAAAGGAGCTCAGATAAAATATAGAAAAAGAGGTTGGCGGGGAAGAAAAAGCAAGTTGAAAGAAAAGCTGCTGCAGTACCACCTGTAGCAATACAAACAGCTTTCACTTCCCAAATTCAGGATCTCAGAGCCTTTCAAATATCTGTGTTTCTCAAGGGGAAAATCATGTCAAGACCTTGGCTGAGCACTGGTGCAGCTCAGCCATTTCAAAGTAATTCTTTCTCCTTACATCATTTACTTTAACCATGCCCGCACACATTTCTTTTTTAAAAACCTGTTGTGTATGCATTTGTGCAATTTTTATATCTACAAATTACAGATTTATCCTACAGATTACCAAGTTAATTGTAGACTAACAAAGTCTGGCCTTTAAAACCACTGGAAATTAAAAATACTTTTTTGTTTCTAGAACTAATTTAGCTATAGTTTCATCCTGCAGGGAAAGGGATGAGAAAAGAGCAGAATAATTAAGGAAGATTTCTTATAGCAGAGGTGTCAGACTCAAGGCCCGCAGGGTGCTTATATGTAGCCCATGGGGCCACCCTGGA